ATATAAATATAATTGATTTCTCACATTTTATTAATATTTTTTATAAGCTAAAATTAGGTGAATAGTGACTATTATTTTTTTTATTTATAATTTTAATATTATTGTAATGTATAATGTCATTTTTTTTAAAATTATTTAGTTACTTTTATACTCTTGTTTGACTTAAATATGTTTTCAATCTCTATAAAATTAGAAAATTTTGATTTTGATCCTTATAATTTTTTTATTTTTTTCATTATTTTAAAATATATAAATATTATTTTTGGTCCTAGTAAAATAAATAAATTTTGATTTGATATCTTAAAAAATATTTTTTTTAATTTTTATCTCTCTAAAATTTAAAGTCACTGTTTTATCTTAATAATTATTTTAAGATAGATAAATATCAATTATTTTAAAGAATCGTATATAACACTTAGGATGTTTGCTTAATTTTTAATAAACATAGGAAATAAAAACAATAGTTTCAATTTTAAAGGGGTGAAAAGCAAAGATTTTTTTTACTTAGATTAAAATCAAAACTAACTAATTTTTTAGGAACTAAAAATATTTTAAAGCCTTTTATTTTATTTTCAATGAAAATTTAATTTGTATTTTTTAATTTTTAAAATGAGATAACATCTTATAAGTGCTTAAATAATGATATATCTAAACACTAAAACTATATAAGTGTTTGTTAAAATATATATCAAAATACAACAACTTACTAAATTTTAAACACTTATAACATAAGTGAGTATTACATAAGAGCTTAGTAAATAAGATATTAAATAAGTTGTTTGTTCAAATGAAGTTTAAATCTATTTGTCAATCAACAAATTCTCATGCATACAAGAAATTATTAAGTAGTTTAAAATTATTAAGTATTCTCATACATTATTTCTGGATAAAATTAACAACACTATGATAAAATAAATATTTAACAATTGTTCAAGGATTATGTGACCTATCTAATAATTTCTCTTCTCATACACTTGGTTTCTATTTCTGTCCCATATCATTATAACGTCATTTATCTTCAATTAGATGTAAGAGCTCTTTCCAAACCTCTTGTCGTGCATGCATGGTGCACAGCTTCCCTACAATCTTCAATTAGATGTAACAGCAGTGTAATCCTTTGTTGTGTCTACTCTCATCCTTTCCATGCAGTTATTGTTTCCATTATTAAGCAATAGCAAAGTAAAGATGCCTCTCATCTGGAATAGTGTTTGTGACTTCTGTTTGGGTCCTTCCTTCCCTCTGTCCCACACTTACATGTATATATAATAATTGGAGACGTATTCTATTTTACATTTGAGTTATTATTAATATATATATTTATTCATATTGTTAATAGAAATATAACATTTTGAAATAATTTTAGGAGTTACTATATTGATTAATACTTTTAAAATTTTAAAAAGAATTCAATGGTTCCAAATTTTTAATATTACATTTTATTCATGTGTAGAAGAAAAATATTATTAAAGCAAAATTTGTTAAATTAACATAAAATATATACCATCCTACATAATTACTCAAAAAAAAAAATCCTATATAACAAATTACCTATGTATAGGACGAGTATGCAGTAAATAACATGTTCCCTGCCATATTTAGGAACCACTGATTCTAGTCTCTCTATTTCTAGTCACCATGGCTGCAACAGAATGCTTCAGTTTCTCCACTTATCGGTGATCACTGATTCAGTTTCAAGTCATTCTAATGAACTATTAAAAAAAAAAAATCATTCTATTGAAAATTTATCCTCGAAGAGAACTAATGGATGCAACAAAAGGCTTCAGCTTCTCCTTGCTCTTAGTGATGGCCAAGAACATAACTCGATACAACACAATCATTCCAAACATGATAGCAAGATCAACCCACTTAGAGTGACCCATTTCCACGTGCCATGTGTCAATTAAAACATTTCTACCACTGATGGTTCTATTAATGCCTCCATCTTGGTCTACAGAAAATGTTAAGCCATCAAAATCGTTCTTGAATGATCCTTGGAAGGCATACTTGAGGAATGAAACATAGTACAAAGGGTATTTCCATAATGGTTTGGGAAGGTCATTTGGCCTTCGATAGAATCCACCTGTTAAAATCATGAGTCCTTCAACTCCACCAGCTAGGAACATGCCTATTACATAATTTGGAGAGATGCTTCCAATAACCAACATAAGGCTCTCAACCCACATCACTATGGCAAATAGCAAAGCAGTGAAGTACATGAAGCGATCTAGTCCTTCGTGCATACCACAAAGGTAATAAGCTATTCCTCCCGGAATCAGAGAGATCAGAAGAATGTAAGGAACAGCAGAGAATAAGTTGCCAGCGAGAAATGCTGTGATACCATAGTGTCCATTCAATCTCTCTCTTTCAAATACCTGACATGATAAAATGCAATGTTTTTAAAAACTAGACTGGTTCAAGTTTCAATAGTTCAGATATAGTTGAACGGTTAAACATGATAAATCAAAATGGCTTTGTATTTTAGGTATTTTTCATTGACTCGATGTAAATCATTTTTTGACCTATTTTAACAAGTTTTTACCAATCTTTTGCCGGTTTTGGTCTGGTTTTCAAAATTATAGTGAAATAAAACATTTTCAAATAGAAAAGCAGGCTGCAGTGCTAACTTGATTATCTTAAAATATAACACAAAATGACAGAAAATTTACCTTCATTTCTTCCAAAAGTGGAGAGAATCCAGCAACAAGGGTCATGAAACTCAGAACTGAAATGAAAAATATGAGCAGCGAACCTCTCGCCTGAAGCAAGAATGAGGATATTGCATTACTCATCAACTTTATTCGTTAATACTTAAAGCTAAGCATTGTGCTTATCATTTATCTTACCTCAATAGATCCATGACTGGTGCCTATGTTATAGTAGATAGAGCCAATGCTTATAGCTATTATAATAAAGACAACTAATCGTAACCAGTAATTTCCCGTGTCACGAAACAATTGCAAGGAAGATCTTCTTATAAGAACAAGGCATTGAGTGTGAACTGCAGCATGAATCCTCTGCTTCCTTATTGCACCAGAATCCTAAACTCAAGCAAAAATTAGTATTTCAGGTATCATAATTCTCAAGTCTTTGGGTTTGTGGAATTATTCTTGTAATTTTGTAGCGCGACATGAAACTTACACTTTCAGCTATTTTTTCCACTTCATTTATAACTTGTTTTCTTATTTGAGACGATCTGTAAGACTTTACAAGGGTATCAATTGCTTCTTCTGTGGTTACTCCCTTAACAAAACCTTCTTCAGCATCCTAGAGTAGAAACAATAAGATGAATCAATTATGTTTCGGGATTTTGGCTGCATCTTCTTGATCAGAAGACACGCTGCTAAAAGTAAAACATTAATTTAGTCCCTGAAGATTGTAACACACTACCACTATTCAATTTTATATCTGATGAAACAAGAAAGAAAATTTAGTCCTTAACTATAACAACCATCAATTAGACATGAAAATTTAGTCCTTAACTAAAACACGTTGATTTTGGGTACAATACTCAATTTGATCCCTAACTAATGTACCCAAAATCAATAATCAAATTGACTAATGGTAATCAAGTTTAAGGACTAAATGAATTGATAATTATTAAAATCAGTGACCAAATTTGGTTTTTTATGTATAATGTATTGTCAAGGACTAAGCTAACTGATAATGTCAATTTTGCAAAATAAATTAGATGTTTTCCTCCAAAATAACCAATCTTCAGAATCTGCGTACCTGTTCAAAATCTTTGTTTATGATCCTTAAGTAGTGATCAGAAGGATTGTAGAGAGTTGGGCAAGGGAAACCATTTGAAGCAAAAAACTACACAAAATCAAGGTGTCACCATATATGTTGTCAACTTCAAATCAATATGTGCTTCTTTATACAGGATTAATTATTTTAGTTCTTAACCTGATTTGCATCAGAGGCTGGACCAAAATATACTGTTTCACCAGAAGACAGAAGGCATAGGTCATGGAAAAGTTCAAAAACTTCACTGCTAGGCTGATGGATGGATGCAACAATAGTCCTTCTAATGCCATCCCTTAGATTTAGTCTTGCAATTCTACTCATAACATAATAGGATGCTGCACTATCAAGGCCACTAGTTGGTTCATCAAGGAACAGAAGTTTTGGTCGCGTGAGAATCTCAATGCAAATGCTGAGCCTCCTCTTTTGTCCCCCACTGAGGCCCTTAGAATGCCACCCTCCAACTTTTGTGTTGATGGCATCTTGCAGACCCATTTCTCTCAGTGTAATATCTGCTCGTTCCTTCTTCTCTGCTATGGACATGGAATCTGGAAATTGGAGCTGAGCTGAGTAGTATAAGGTTTCTCTAGTGGTTAAAGTTGACAGCATAGCATCATCTTGTGTTACATAGCCCTGATTTCACATGGTGGAGGTAGAGGTTAAGAAATCACAATTATTTTTTCCTACAAAAAATTTACTACTTTTTTTTTTTTTTGCTAAGTTCTTGTAGCTTTTGGGAATTTTCTCTTACTGATGTCCCATAGGCCAGTGCTTGTTTCTGGCCATTGATTAGAATCTTTCCTGCATGCTTCATGTTTGAGCTCAATCTTCCTGCAACATTGTTTGAATCATATGATACGCATTTCATTTAGTATATCACTAGATCACATCAATTAAACGAGATAAATTTGCCGCTCCTAATTACATTAAATTATTTTAGTATTAATTACTCACCTGCTAAAGCATCAAGAAGTGTAGATTTTCCACATCCTGAAGGACCCATTATGGCTAGAATCTTTCCTGGCCTGGCATAACCTGTAAGACCCTGCAGAATTGGCTTCTTTTTCTTTCCCCTTGGAACAGTGACCCACAAATTCTCCCATGTCACTGTTATGTCCTTCTCTCCCTGATTACTTCCAATAATTTCTGTTAACTTAATATCATCACCTTCAAATGTGGTCAAAACTTGTGGGTTAGTTTTCAAAATGGCACTCATTCTCAACTCTCAGTTGCGGCTAAATAATTTATGTGTCAGAGTTACATTTATGAAGATATGTTCTGCTACTAACAATATCCTAGCATTTTCTTTGAGTAATCTCAAATTCTGAATCATAATTTCTCTCATACAAAATAGGAATTAACTGATGCATGGGAACCAATTGATGTGATTACAGGTTATCTTTAGATTTTCAAATTCAAATTCAAATTTCCTCTATGTATATCATTAACCGTGTATGTACATATCAGTCTATATAATATATATCTTGTACACTGCAAATAATCTATAGCAACAAATCAGAGCGTTTTTTTAATCTACGATGATGCATGATAAGAACATGTGGCGATTTAAACAACGATGACTTGATTGATTCAGGGAAAGTTGCTTTTGTCTTTTTTTGATTTTACCCTTTTTTCAGTTTATCGGGACGATGAGAAGTGAGAGCCAGAGCTTCGAAAGGTACAAAATATATTCATTGGAGGCACAACGGCAAAAGATACGATTATTGTGTAATAATATTAATTAGGCGCTTTGGAGAAACTCAACAATGTGCAACGTATTTTCCAACTCAAACAAGTTGTGATGACTGAGAAAAAAGGACAATGTTAGCCGCACAAAATTATTCCCTTAAACATGAAACTAGTACATGATTTATTAACCAACTGAAAATCTCATTTTTAATCATATGAAAAGTCTTTAGAACTATAGTCTATAGCTATGTCATCTACGTGGGATAGAAGAAAAAGTTGAGTTTAAGTACAATATAACATACCCCTTCAAGGCAAAAATTATGAGGTTATTAGATAGTTGAAGATCACTCAGTATTGATGGTACCAATCAACTATTACATAACATATTTAAAATTTTCAATTTAATAGGAAACCGTAATTATATTTAATTATAAGTTTTGTAAAATCTAATTAGAAATAATATGGTACAAGACCACCTAATAATTCATCAAGGACATGTGTAGTTAAACTTCTTTGTATAAGTGTTTTTAAAAGAAGAAAATAAAAAAAAATTATTTATAAACTAAAATTAACTTTTACATATGTCATAAATTTATTTTAATTTTTTAATAAATTTATTTCATTTTTTATTTTCTTCTCTTGAAGTATTCAAAGAAAAACCTAACCAAATATGACCTAAGACTAGACAATTAATTTTTTTTTTAACAAAATTGTTTGTCTCGTTGCATTTTGATTATGTAATGTACAATACAGATATGATAAAAATTAACATTTTTTAAAAAAAATAAAGTTTATTTTAAAAAAAATATTCATTAAAATTATTATGTATAATTTATTTATTTTTGTGTAAAACAGTGACAAAGATTCAAACATAAATATCCATCATGTTTCTACACTCTATATCAATTTCTTCCATCTACTACTAACTACAAACATAGTGATTGATATTGTTTAAATTCATCAAATTTACGTTCAATGGAAAAATTACAAAATGTTACCTCCTATATTAGTGCATTAGAAAGAGAAAATTTCATATGGATTTCCAAACATCCACAAAATCTATCTTAATAATCATAATCTTATCTAAAATGGTTGACTTTTAGACTCTTTCGTCTATTGACTTATTTAAAAGTAAGTTCATAAAATTTTAAACAATTTAAAATTAAGATACATTATTTAAAAAAGATAGATAGATCAGATTCAGATTTTAAATTAAAAAAACATACAAGTGAGTTTAAAGAAAGGCTGACATGTCTGCAGACTGCATTTCACCTCTGTTCTTATGCATTTCTCCATTCACCCAATAATTCACGAAAATCTTTGCTAGACATTTTGAGCATGTTTACATTGGTGGAAGATGTAAAACAGGGGAGGTCCAATAATAATAATAATAATAATAATAAGAGATTCTAAAAGCATGTGAAAGTCAAAGGTAGCATATGAAAAAGCACCTTTGTCTGCTACGAGATTTGGAACAAGAGTTTCTGCTGTGTTTGTGTTTCCCATTGTTGTTTGGTTGGCGGAAATATGAGATTAAGCAGAATGCCGAAACGAAGGAAACAAATAGAAAGCGCGTATAAAATGCTACAATCGTTCTTACCAATCAACTACTTATATATAGAGACCCACGCAGAACCTTTACTTACACGTAAAAATATTCCAGCTAACTAAAAACTCATAACTGAATAGACCCTCATAATTTTTTCATCTCATTGTCACAAACTTTTCCCATTCACTACTTAACTTGTATAAATATTAGTAATTATCTACTGCCTTTCACTTATTTAATATTATAAATAATACTTGTAATTATTCTCATTGTCATTTTTTTAACATTAAAATGTTAAATTCAATTTGAGATTAATTATTTTACAAAATAAAATAAATTATCAATAAGATATTGAAAATTTTTAATTACTGAATTTTAACTAATAATGTTATTGTTCAACTATTTTAAAAAATAAATGAGAATGAATTAATTATATTAGAATAAAGTTTTAAAAAGAAATTGCCTAAGCCCCCTAGAGCCCATCCCAATTGATTTAAACGTTGAACAATCAAATTAGACAATTCTTTGAGTTAGAGTTAACAGTATAAGAATTATCGATTATATATGGCCAAGTCTTTATCTATATGCGGTGGATATTAATTTTTAGTAAAAAAGTAGTAAATATAAGATCAATTAGTATGATTTTATATAACGACATGAGTTTTTCTTAATGAAATTAATCCTTAATAAATATAATCCACTACCAAAAAAAAAATCTTCTATGTACTAATGTAATGTATAGCTAGTTGGACATTGAGTTTCTCTGTGATAATACGTTATTTATTTCACTGAAATTAAGTTCTTAATATAAACCTTACGAGTGTGTAATAATATAAGATTTTCTTTAATCGATAATTAAAGACTAATTTTTTGAAATATCAAAATTTATTTAATAAGTTGACATTCAACAAATATTTTTTTATTATATATATATTGATTAGAGATCAAACTCTTGATTACATATATTTAAAAGATAAATTATCAATCATGTCATACTTTATTGATAAATATTGTAGATTTGTGTGTATATATATGTATACGTACTAATAGTATATAAAATAATTTTATTAATATTTAAAAGTAGATATACATTATTGATATATCATATTATTAGTATATATTTATATGAATAATTTAATTTTTATTAAATAAAATTTACACTAATAGAAATGATCCTAATATATGATTATTTTTAGTAAGGTTGAGCAAGGAAGATAAGGGCAGTTAGTATGTTGAAGTCCAACACGCTTGATGAAATATTTTGACACAATGCTGTCTTCTTCTTCTAGGGCATATGTATGGTTATTCAGCTACACTTTCTTACTTAGGCAATGTGTCTTTTCTTTCTTCAAATGGTAGG